GCTTTGCATTAATAGTCCTATAATTACATGTATGTGTGATAATACTTTAATTAATTTATATTTTATCAAATGACATGAAGATAATGAGCAAGTATTTCGGATTTTTTATGTTTGACTTCCGGGAGATCAAATCCGATTTTAATGAACCATTGGCGTCGGAAGGAAATTGATAGTGGGGTGGCTAATTGAAATAGAAAAAAAAAATCAAACCTGAAAAAAACTTGACAAGCAAAAAAAAAAAAAAAGGAAAATTGTTCTTTCTCCAAACCCGAAAATCCTATTTCGGGGGTGTGGGTGGGGGGGGGGGGGGGTCGAACATCTTTCAGTAGCAAATTCTTTTAAACACTACCAATTACCCTTCTTTCACTACAATGAATCGTGCCTGTTGAAAGTAGGGAGGGGGGGGCTAGACCTACGCCCAAATTTTCAATGCCTATATTATGTCTACCTTTGTAAAAAAAAAAAAGAGGGGGGGGGGGAATAGCCCCCCCCCCCCGCCGGTTCCGACGCCTATGTGAACCGGTTTTTCTTAAACGTGTCATTTCACTCAAAAAATGCCTTTCAAAGAATGAATAATTTTTAACATCAGAATAATTTAAAAGTTTATTAGCTTTCTGTCAAATATGGCAAAAAAAAAAACAAAAACAAAAAAAAACAAAAAAAAAAAAACAACAAACAAACAAAACACGTAAAATGTCTACTTGATTGCCTACCCGATTTACCAACCTCACGGGCGGATTCAGAGAGGGCCCATGGGACCCCCCCCCCCCCTTGTGTCCAAAATATACATAAGATTTCATAAATCAATTGTTTTTTGGTTTGGCTGTGGGCTACCTACCCCGACCAAAAACTTGTCGGGACCCCTTTTCAAGATTCCTGGATCCACCACTGAACTTGGAAATCAAAAATCGCCAAGAAAATCTAAATTACTAAGTATTTTAAAATTAAATGCAATTTTTACAGCGAATACACATTAACCTATAAAAATGAGTCTTAAAATTTCAGCACAGTTGATAAAATCAGGAAGCTGTATACATGTAATAGAATCAGAAATTAGAAAAATCTCGAATAGCCCCGGCTTTTAATTTGCCACGGCCCGGGTTTCCTATTTTCAAACACTCTTTAAACTGGAACTCCGCGCATTTTTTTGAATAAAAGGACCAGTTTAGATGATGATAAAGAAGTTACCACTGCATAACATGAAGCGACTAATGCATATAAAGATTTGACCACGTCATATAACAAATTAACAACATCATATAATTAATTAACCACCTCATATAAAGATGTTACCACTGCAAAGCATGATTTAAGGAATATATATAATAATTTTACTATAAGACCGCGGAACATTAACTGGCAAAATTGGAAATATGCAGCTTACGTCATTTACATCTGTCGCAGTCAAACACTTGATGATATACAATGAAATGGGCGGGTACAATTTGACACGAACGTCTGCGAAAACATTGGATTGAAATTGCAATTCGAAATTCATTTTCAATCCATGCACCTGAGCTATTTTTCGCAAAGTAATAATGTATGATCGAAACGACAAAATAATTTCAGTTCCCAAATACGTATAGTTTGATATTAATGTATAACAATTTTCTATCCAATATTTTGAGGACACACAAAAGATACACATGTATATAGTAGCTTTATTCTTTTAGGGGACGGCCATTTGATTCTAGAGGGGGGAGGGCAAATTTTGTCGAATCAGATTATTTATGAATATGCCTCACATAAAAAAATTATATATATTATTTGTAGGACGACAAAAGACATTATTTATTTTCCTTCACTGAAAAAAAAAATTGAAATTCAATTTCAATCCATCTGAGCTGCTTTCAAACCTTAAGTGTGAATGCATGATCCAGCCGAAGACAAATAAATTCAATTCCCAAATACATGTTGTTTGAAATTCATATTATATGAGTTTTTTAACCTATAATTTTAAGAACACGTCAAAGTCATAGAAGACAGAGATTATCTTTTCAGGGGACGGCCATTTGATTCTAGAAGGGGGGGGGCTGTCAAAAATTGTCGAGTCAGATCATGCCTTCACATGAAGAATATATTAATTTCTAGGATGACAAGAGCTTTTATTTTTTAGTTTTTTCTTCTCTGAAAAATATTTGACAAACAAAAACAGGGAGGGTTGTCCAATCTAAAAGAAAATTTTCTTATTCATTTCCAAGATCGTTCAGCCCCCTCCACCGCCCACCCCATCCCCAGCACACACATACATGTACACATACCAAACAGAATCCAAATATTTGTCCCTTTATATTTCTTTAAAAACATGGGATAGAAAATTCTGATTTATATATATTTCAAATTATTTGTCTTCTGGGTCAATCAGTAACACCGTGCGTTCTAGCGTAGCTGAGGTGGATTGAAAATGAATTTCAAACTAGAATTTCAATCCAATGTTTTCTCGGACGTCCGTGTCGAATTGTACCCGCCCATTTCATTGTCTATCATTAAAAGTTTTGACTGTAATAGATGGAAATGACGTAAGCTGCACATTTCCAATTTTGCCAGTTAATGTTCCCCGGTCTTATGATATAATGATGTTAGTACTGCACATAATAGATTTTTCACTTCATGTAAAGGTGTCGCACTGAATGAAATTAACTTGGCACTCCACATGCAGCGGGTTTCTTACAATGTAATGATTGCTTTATCACACAAATTATGTTTGTACTGTATATATTGAATTCATCACATCACAGAAAGATTTCAGTAATGTATATAATGGAAAAACCACTGCATATAATGATTTTACAACATAATATATTGATATTATCACTTCATTACATTATTTAACCACTACATATAATGACACTGCCACTGAATATAATGATAAAACCGCTGCATATAATAAAGTTATCAATGAATATAATGATTTTATCACTGTATATAATGATAAAACCACTGCATATAATAAAGTTTTCATTGAATATAATGATTTTACCACTATATATAATGACTTCACCACTTCACATAAAGGTTATACCACCTCATATAATATGAAAATGACCTTCAGGCAGCTGTGGCGTTCCATATAACAACTAGTAAAAATATCACTGACACATTTTTGGCATAATAAAGGAACTAGACATGAAAAGCATGCAAAACCCACAAAACTTGAAAAAAAAAATAGGGCGTTCTGATATTGATAACTTAGATCTATTTTATAAAATGATAGTCAGTTGAATGTTTTGACTGGGAATTGCATCGCTGGATTTATTTACTCTATCATATTGATGTTATGGATTCAGAAAAGTTCGACTGCTGATAAACATATGTTTACCATGACACGCCTTTTTCGTGTACTTCTTTATAATAATCCCCAAATAAGAATGTAGCGTTGTATACCCACTCCCTTAAGACGTCCCCCCCCCTCATAAAGTCCGTCTCATTGCCTGCTGTTTCTTTGACGTAGAGGCTAATTATAATAAGCTATACAAAATACATGTATGACTAAACCAAGATTTTTATACAAATAAATCGGAAGGACACGAGTACGGTTTGGGTTATAGTTAAAGTACATGTAAATTCATAACAGTAATTGTATGAGTGATTTCTAATCACCGTAGCTATCTAAATGTGCGTTAAATAAAATAAAGCTTTAACTTCTCCATTGACTTCTAACTCCCTAAATATATTGTAGAAAAAAAATCTAGACAGATGTCTAATAGATACAAAACAAAATAAGATCTTTTACTAATGTCTACGTCTGCTTTGTGCGGTAGTATGTCTGTATTCATTGAAGATATTTTTGGAGGAATCTGTTTTACAGATGTTCTACAGAGTCGTACATCTCTGGCTATGTCTTTTCCTCTCAAGCAGAAAGCGAATTTCATTAAGAAAATCATTTTCTGTCAGTTTTTTTTTTTTTTTTTTTTTTTTTTTTTTTTTTTTTTTTTTTTTTGCTTTTCAGCAGAAATGATCTATATTTAAAGTGCTTGCGTCAAAGACGGATGTCCGTTATACTAGCTGGTCAAGCATATCGATCTGTGATTGTGATTCGGGTATGAATTTACACAGGTGTTTTCGATAATCATACCTTTGTTTGTGCATGATTTTTTAAGAATAGTGTAACATTTCTATGCCATGGCAGCCGTTTGTATTGTTATTTGAACAATGCGCCCGATTCTTATGTGTTGTAAATGATTGATGAGATTACAAGGCCACGGGGAGAGTCTAACAAAAGAGCCCCAATTGCTGCTATCCGGATAAGTCTCTGAGGTCTCCATATACAATCGGCACCAGCAAAAATGAACAAAGTCAAGGAAAAACACCAGCATCTGGTGTTATATTCATGACACCAAAGCATTGCATAATTTTATGGTTCCACGTAAGGGAATTTTCTAATTTATCTCGTATCCATTGTTTTAGTTTTGTGTGCAAATAGAGTAAAAATATATTACATAATAATAAGGTGAAATATTTATGACTTTCGTTTAGAGTGTGAAAGTCTGCGAATTCGCAGAAAAAATTAAGATATATGAAAAACGTTAATTCTTCGTTGGCAAAATTTTTTGTGGTTTTATTATTGGAATTGCCTCTAATGAGTTAGAACCGCAAATCGAATGGACAAAGACATCAATCATAAACACAGTTTTACATTGCCATTCTGTTAAAGAACACGATGAATCATATAGAAAGATGCAATTCAACAAACTGTGCTTGAAAGACATCTAAGGTCGTCAATTCTTCGTAAAATATGACAACCATGTTTTGACCTCTTATTAGACGCAAATAAAAGACATCTTTGACGATTTACCACACTTGAATTGTAATATCTTCTTTTTCGGCGGGATGATATTAATCCCTGGGATATATCGCAGATAATTACCCCCAACAAATCGAATTTAAGCAAAGTAAAAAGAAGGATCAGCATGGAGATAGCTTCAACCATGTTCCTGTTAAGTGTAGGATTTTATATCCCAGCTGATATCATTAAATTGTCCTAAATTAGTGTTCACCATTGAGTATAGATTTTTCAATAGGAATATTGGAGAATGCCCGCCATTGTCATTTTACAACGACATGTGCGAGGAGCAGTAGGATCAATATTTCGCTATGTCCGCGCACGCATCTGGAGTTTTTAAGGAAGGAACGTTAGCGAATGCTACATATAAACAGAAGTGATACCTATGTCAAGTTTACATACTTATAGCTACGGACTGTACCAAGAAAAGTCAAGGTATAAAGTACCTAGAGTAATGCATCATTTCAGCTGTACCGCTCTCCAGTAACGTCAGCATCCCTCCCCGACCATGAATAATCGCGTTACTGATATATGTGAAAGTTGGACATATGGCGAATTACTGGGATGAAATCACCCATGTGTGGCAATTTCAAATGATGATATTTCGACAGGAAAATGGTACGCTGTCAGCGGATCTTCTGTTAAAGAACAGTTGAGAGTAAAATCAATAGGGAAAACTGCATTCTTTAAAGAGACAAGGGACAATTAGCAGAGCGTGAGTGGATTAGTACCATATGATCTGAACAGCTTAACACGGGATACAAATTAGCAGTGATGTTAGATGAACTCTTGTTTTGTGGACGTCAGTCATCATTTAGGGGGCAGCGCGGTTGGATTTTGCACTGTGTCCTGGATTAATCTTGCACCATGTGCTTTACTTTTCCTGCACTGTGTTTGCCAGTTTAAGCCTCTGTTGTTTCTATCTTTCACAATCAGATTTGCTCATCTGATTTGCAGGATATTTTCCAAATTTAGTCAACAGGCTATTCTCTGTCCAGGAATAATTGTCGGATATTGACACTGGAAAAAGGTAAGTTTATAACTTGTTTTTTTTTTTTTAATTTAGGAAATAGCACGGTTTTAAAAGAGAACCGCTGGGTGCTCTGTTTCAAATGCAAAGGGATTCTTATTGATGAAAAGCGCGTGCGATTTTGTTTGTATGTAATCAGGTAGCAAATAAAACATATTTACATAGGTCTTTCATCTGGCATCAATATGTTTTCACTTAACTGACACACCATTAACGTTTGAGTAAACACATGTGAGTAAATCTGGTCGTAGAATATTTATACCATGTTTTAAAACATAATTGATATAAACAAAACCTTTTCCGGTCAAGTTAAACAAAGCTGTCAAGAATATATTCGATTAGTGTTTTGGTTAATATTCAAACTGCTGCAATATTTAAAAATATCGCCCAGAAACACATTAATTTTCAAGATGTATAATATCCACCGGTATGATGTCATAGATATCTGCAACATTAAAAGATTCTTAGATTTTATCAAGGAGGCGTGTAATTAGGGCATAATTTATTTAGACCTATGTATGATTTTAGATATGCTAAAGATCGGCTTAAAGATAATGAAGATAGTTCCAACAAAATTTTACACTAATGCTGTATGGGTAATTTTTCATTCAGTGCACTTCATAACACAGAAATCTCAATGAAATTTGTGGCCTTTGCCGCGCGATCAAACAGCTAAATCGTTTGTTGCCGAGACTCAAAGCGCGGGGAATTTTCCGACAGCGTGAAGAGATTATGCAATTTAAGTACTTCCGATAATTATGAAATATCAAAAATTATTTTCATATTTTCCGATTAGAGAGGGAAATACGCCGGATCAATAAGCGTTCGTTGCGGGTGTTGAATAAGATAGAGACGTATCAATAACCCCAGTGTTTTTGTCATCAAACGTGCAAGCCTAAAATAGAAAAGTATAACTGTCAATTTTATACCTTTCATACAGAAAAGGTGCTGAAAATGTAATGATGGTGAGAGGAGAGAGGGTGTCATCATAGGTGTAGGTATCTACTGTGCAAGAGAACAATAAGTAGATCAAACACATTTAATTTGCCGTTCATCTTACGAATAACTTGTTCAAAGTCGCAGTTACATGTAAGATAATAATGAAAAGAAATGAAATATACCAGAAATACTGAGCTTTATTTTCAAAGTTATGTTGAAAATGATTACAGGACAAGAATTAAATTGTTCTTTAATCTTTTTAAACTTCAGACTAAAAGTTATTAAATGAGAACAATTAAACGTGCCTGTACAAAAAAGGAAGATTTTTAAAAGGAGGTTTATTTGTACATGGATTTCTTGTAACTGTAGGGAATATTTTATTACAACACGGCGTTATTATTTACATATCTTCGATAATTTTATCGATGAACGATTTACCAGTTAATTTCCTTGAATTTGTTTTTCTTAATTTCGTTTCCCAAGTGAAATATTATTTTAAAAAAATACTGATTTAGATTTAATTTTTGATACAGATTGATGACTTGTGTTCTATTGTTAGCGTTGTATTCTATTTGATTTTGATTTATTTGACCTTGATGCCAGACTAAATGTCTTTGTGATGTTACTTAAAGAATATTCCTGGCATTAGTTTAAGCTCTACAAGACATGATTATGATACAATTCACATGCCTTGTCCCTGTGTAAAGAAAATACAGCAGGGAATTAACAACCTGTTCAACCTATGTCGTGTAATCAATTAAATTAGTGAAATATAATCAGTTCATTTGTATAAAATAAATGAATTCATTTCCGACGAAAGTTGTATTAACATACTAGCAATATTAATACAGGAAAAAAATCAATCCCTGGAACCGAATTCTGTCTACTGTCCGCTCCAGTGATGGTGATCTTCCTGGAGCTCAGGCTAAACATTCGTGAAAACTAAGACAAACGCGAATCCAAAATATAATGTTTTCCTGTCTGTAGCGACACACCCAAAATAATTTGCTTAAAGCGTGTAAAACATGTAGGAGTATAGAGTGTAGATTTTTGAAATGTCCAACATTTACATTTCCAAGGAAGCATTTAAGTAAACGATTGCGCACTGACTTAGACAATCACATACACCTGGGATCTATAGTATGTACAGTCAAGGGATGGTAATTTTTTTGTAGAGTAAAATGTAAAATCTCGTTATTTGTTATAAGCTAACAATATAATATTTTTTTAATTGATGACTTTCCCATTGAATGATTTTTTATTAAACAAGTTACTTAAGAGATTAAAATTACAGCGCCAGCTAAAATTTGATTGATTTTTAAACGACGTATTTGTCGATTATTGATCGGTCTTCATCTGTGCCAAACAGAATCGGAAGAATCAGGTAGTTTAGTTATTAGAGCAGATCTAGTTTACATTGCATAACTCGGGGTGCATTTACCTACAGGAAGTCAGTTCTCAGATAATATCGATCCCGATCAGAAATGTTCACCTACAATTAGTCAATTAACTTTACCCAAGAGAATTTAATTTCATGTTAACAATATCAGTTGTTCGTAAATATCAAGCCTTAGCCTTATAATACAACTCGTTGATAATTAATTTTTTATGACTAGATCCGGAAATAGTTAGACTCTTGTTTTATATAGGATGATAAACAGTAACGAAACTTACAAAGCACTTTTTCAATTAATAATGCACTGCTGATATGTCAAACATGAATTATACACATTGTTTTGTGAAATTTAATTGTTTTCTTTGACAACACATGAGTCTAGAAAGTTGTCAAAGGGAACAAAATGTCTTTCTATTGAATATTTTTACTGTGCTACATGTATAAGTAAGTCATGTTTTCGATACTGCGCTCTCTCTCTCCGCTGCTTTTTTTATATATGTATACTGACCTGGTCATGGCACTTACAGTTAGCGTCAATGCAATGGACTTATTTATTCGAGGTTTTTTTTTCATAGGTTTTTTTCCAAAAGTCAAGAGACAATTGGGGCTGGGGACGTTAAGTTAGAAAAGTAATTAATCTTTGCAACGAAGAACATAGTGGATTGTCACTGTTGAGAAAATAATAGTAATTCTCGCTGAGAAATGAACGATTGTTTGTTCTTTGATTGTGGATAATTTCTAAAGCTAGCTTGTTTGACCGAAGCTTACGACGACAATGGCCACTTAAAAGTTAATGAACTTTCTTGGACATCGGCAAACTGAGATCGTTCTACCAAAGTAGTTTTGTAATCTGTATGTTGTTATTATGTTGACTCATTATTAAGAAAAATTAAAATAAATAAATGAACAAATAAACTATTACTTACTTACTTAAGAATATAGCAAGGTTGATCTTCTACTTAAGTAAAACCTTGATACGTGAATGACTTTAGTGTGTGCTTGACACGTGATCAGGAGCACGTGAAATTTCCGAAACCTAAGTCCTAACTTCGTGAAAAGCTTGGTGTCGTTAATAGCTAATTAGAGCAACAATAAAGTTGTTATAACTACCCATTAATACTCGGTAGGGGTCGAATTCATCTGTTAATATCAGAAATACGCTTGATCTTTGTAGAAAATTATACCCGCTATCGGTATCGGGTAGATTAAAGTCGCATAAAAACCCTTCATCAATGCATACCAAAGGATAATCATTGCGCTGTATGACAACAGCTTGTGTTTCTGTATATATGAACATGTAAGGCATTTTTTCCTGGAAAATAAATGTCTTGTATACTGTGTAAATGGTATTTTGAAACTATACAAGATACAAGATACAAGATATTTTATTTACCAATCAAGGGCCCCGAGAGGCATTTCCACATATATAAATGCACAATTTAAACATAATTCACAATATACATTTCATGTTTTATATATATATATATATATATATATATATATATATATATATATATATATATATATATAAGTGGTTTCCGAAAGGAAATGTACATGTAGACTATACAAACTATATAACGAATCCTAGCCGCTTCTTTGGATATGGCAACAAATCATTCAATAGCTGACTATGTGGGCTTTTTTTTGAAAATGTAAGCTTGTGGATTTTTTCAATATACACAATGTAAGCTAACAAATATCTATCTTGATTTTTTTTTTTTTTTTTTTTTTGCATGGGAGTCGTTTACGTGCTTTTGACACATTACTTGGTTACAAGTGTCTAGAAAAATATGTGCAGTAAGAATAAATTTATATTTCGTTCTTTCGCCTTTTACATTTTGAGATTTCCGAGCAATCGAGTATGAATTTCCGTTCGGTTAAATCAGGATTATTTTCTTAAAATATTAATTATACCATATGAAAAATTAAGAATGTTCGCTAAGAAAATGAATTAGAGAATTTTATGAGCATCATCGTGACCTTATATGCCTTAAAAGACGATTATCGAAACTACAAATGACGCGAGCAACCCTTAATTGAATTCTCAGGGGGTTCATAGAAAAATAAACACTGGACTAATTTGTTTATTCATCAGCATTAACTGCGATCTTGAGGCACTACTTTCACAGTTAATGGTGATTGTTTTCAAGTGATAAAAAGACCAATCCTTTTCCGTTTTACTTCTGTTGAAAAAAAATTGGGTAGTTCCTTAATCAAATTCTTTGAACGAAACGCACCACTCCACATACATGTAGACATCAAAATTATATCCAAAAGGGGGATTAACAAAAAGGCGTTCGTATCCTTTTGTATCTGGTACTTCTGATTCTGATGGTAATATTGAATTTGAATTCTTATCATTATAAAAAATTAATTCAAACTGAAATATCCGCACGTAGGTGTTTAAACTTTTGATTCAACAAAGCCTAGTTATTTGACAGAAATACCCATATACTTGTAAAATTACAAGCATGCGTCTTTTAAAGGATTCCATGTTAATCGTGAAAAAAGCACACAGCATGCGATGAGATAATTATACACTGTCATAGATATTTCCTTCTTATGTATCCCGTTGGCTCCTGGCCGTGGACTGTTGCAGTAGAATTAGAGGAATTGTTCTTTGTGATTCCGATAGCATGTTCTTGCCATAGCTGTCCTTTTTGTGACCTTCTTAAGTGGCATCTTGTTAATGATATCTGACAATTTCTTCAGCGTTTAGTCTAATCATGTTGACTTGATCGTACCAATATATTTTTTTCTTGATATTCTACGTTTCCCGATGAATTCCTTCGTCATTTTGTCCATAGAAATAAAATAAATTTTCAAAAAATTAGGGATTTTTTATCTTCAACGAAGAGTGACGTTGATATCTTTATTTTAGACTTTATTAACTTTAGCAAGTGAAAATTGTAGGTCGATGATCGAGTCAAAGAAAGACCCCGAAGATTTAACATATTGTTGGAAGTAAGTGTTACCCTAAACGTAAAACGCCGTATACCGACGAGGAAATAGGCTTTATTATATACCCAACTGTGTTTCACTCAATTTTACTGTTGATTTCGCGCAATCGTGCCTCTCTGAAACTGATGACGTACATGTAGTATAAAGTATACGTGACGTTTTTTCTTGCCTATCAAAAAGTTCCTTGAAAATATGCTTTGTTTGATAAATAAAAGTTATATAATCGATCCCAAAAGTTTTCTTTTATTATATTTTGCTATTTGTAGAGGGGTTTATAATAAATTTATCATTATAACAGTAACTTGATCAACTTGACGAGACACGAAGCGTCTCGTTTGATTTGATCCGCGCCTGTCAATTCGACGCGATACGACTCTTCGGATCAAGTTACTGTTATAATAATATATATTTATTTATTAGTCTAATCAATGGTACAGACTGTTCAAACTATAATAGTTTAAAAAAAATAGAAATTCATTTATTACAAACTTCTAAAATTATTTAAGTTCCAGTCAGTCACCTCAGAGCTGATCTATGTAGTCTAGATAATCTTGCAATGATGTAAGCAGTTTTCCTGGTGACAGAAAATCATTCTGTGATATAATAAATACATCACAATAAGTAAACGGACTTGGTGAGGCTAACACTGACATAAAGCTTTCCATATATGTATCTAAGCCGTCTATATTTAGATCAAGATAATGCGATTTACGTACGCAGTTTACACCTCAGTATCCCCAGCCTCCGTAATTTTAAGTAACCTATACATTGTATTATCCATGTATACATGTTTTTATTTAGTTTAGGCGAATCTAATTTTATTTCTGCGGGTGTGAATAATCACCCATAAAGACGGGAGGTGTAGCATTTTTCGCCCATCGATGATGGGATATATGGTTAACCAGAAAACAACCATGGTTCCGTCAAATTTCATTTTGTGATTTACATGAATTATTAAAGAACATAAAACCCTCGTCTGATCCCTCCGTAACACACAAGATAGCGATTCATATCTGAATGTGGTTAGCGATATCAAGATTAATGAAAAATGCATGTAGGTAATCAATCTGAAACCACGAGTGATTTGCGCTTCAAATACTGTTTTCCTTTAAGTTTTGTTTGTAAGTGGTGAATTTTTACCCTACAAACACCAAGAATTCGGTTTACGTGTGAGACACGTGTTTACCTCTGCTAACATTTCCATTGATCCGATATCCCAGTATTCGAAGACCTTTCTTAGGACAATGTATGTGTGCTAAGACGAAATAAATGTTTAACTATGTCTTAATTATAGCTAATAACAACTAATTAGTATGAGTTTGAGGCGTATTTATTTCTTATGATAACGTATGCACATTACACTAAATGGAAGAATATCACGCAACACTGTTCTCCGTGCACGCGATGCAGTCATCCATACTCTATCACTACAGTTCAATGGTTTCTAGGGGCAAAAATCAATGCTTTGAAAGTGAGTCTTATACACTTAATTGTTATACTTTTACAATACCCAATACCCAATTACACCTTTATTTTTTATGTTTTATTCTACAGGGTATAAAACAGACGACATAAAAAGGACAATTCTGCCTTCAACAAGATATCTCTTTTGCGACATTCCATAAAAGGGTCACCACACGCCACTTCCGTTTCTCATCTACCTCAACATTCCCCTTAACCTTAAAGTGTACCAGTTTACAGAATACCACTTATTACCATTAAACCTAACATTCCAAAAAAGGCAGAATCCTAACATAGAGGAAATGTGATTTCAACCTGAGAATTAAGTTCTTGGAAAAGGCAATCGTATTACTTATCTCCGAAATTTACATGTTTATCAAATTCTTTGTGAGCAAAGTAAAATGCAATTATTGTGTCTCTGTTCTTTGAATCATTGAAAATCACCCTATGGTGTTCTTGTGGAGGATACGGAGAATGGCGAAATGAGAAAAGACACCTCCCCTGACATGACACTCTGAAAGTTTTGGCGCTCTCTCGGACATGGCTGAGAGGCGATGAAGAAGCAAAACGTCCGGACTTTATCTCTCATTGTTTGTACCTTCACGTACCTCTTGGTGGGAGCCGCTGTCTTTGACGCCCTGGAATCGCAGAACGAAAGTGACGTCAGGAGAGAACTAAATAGCGATGAAATGAAGCTTAGAACTAAATGCAATATCAGCTCAAAGGAATACGAAGATCTCAGAACCATCATATGGAAAGTTCAACCCTACAAAAATGGTCGGCAATGGAAATTTGCTGGTGCCTTCTACTTCTCTCTCACAGTTATCACTACAATAGGTAAGGCTGAATTTTCTCATGTCCCGCAGCAAAACATAGTTTGCATATTTAGGGAAGTAATTTGTTTGAAAGAGTATTGCTGCTTGCTATTCATTGCACAAACAAATATTGCTTTTGCATATTTCCCCTGTGGTTATACTTGATTACTGTGCTTTTCTGTACACCAAATTGCAGATTTGCTCCAATTACAAATTGCGCCATTTTCCAATTGTGGACTTGCCCCAATTCAAAAATGACACGTCAGTCTGCTTTAGATTAGAAAAACTTTACGTAAAACTGGTTTTCAATACAGAGTACCGCTGTACATGTATGAACCAAATTTAATTTGCTAAAATATAATTAATAAATGGAAATGTATGCTGAAGAACCGTTCGCAGAGCTTGTCTAGTCGAACACATGGTGTTCTGGTTACCCGTTTTTGCTCGCAAAAATGGGTCAATTGTTTCGACTCATTTCATTTTATCGGAGAAAATTTGAATTGGAATATTTTTTTTTTTAAAAAAAAGGTATATCTGGGGAACCACACAAACAGTGTCTATGTAATGGTAATGCTTCTGAAAAAAATCCTTAAATGATGTTTTAGATAATTAAGCCATTCATGGTGTTCAGCCTTTCTAATTTCAACCATTGATTCTTTGTAAATTATTTCCTTCCATTAAATTAATTCATAAAATGAACAAATATCTGCAAATTTGTTCTCTCAAACATTGAAAATTAATTATCTTTTCTCAGTTTATAATAAATATTGATATTATTTATAAACTACAACATAGGATCAAGATGGCTCTGTGGTAGCCTATATGGCATCAAAATGCCTTCATGCATTCTTTCATGTGTTTTTGCTATTGTATAGATCCATAGTATCATAGATCCTGACATTGTATTTGATTGGTCATTTAAAAAAAAATCAGTTGCATCTGATTGGTCTTTTTTTAAAAACAAATCAGTTGCATCAGATTAGTCATTTAGAATAAAATATCAGTTGCATGCGACTGGACATTATTTGAACAGATCAATAATATTGCATTTATTGGTCATTATCACCTCCAGAAACAAATCAGTTGTATCTTATTCGCCTTCCTTTGAAATAAATCAGTTGCTTCGATTGGTCATTAATTTAAACAAATCAGTAATATGCGATTGGTTAATGTTTTGAAACAAATCAGTTGCATTCATCGGTCATTTTTTGAAACAAATCAGTTGCATCTTTTGGTTATCCTTTGGAACAAATCAGTTGCATCTGATTGAAATAATCCAAATTTTAACTACAGACGGGTTTCTTACCGACTCATTTACTTGATAGTAACTTTGTAACACTGGTCTTTAATAGACTTTTTTATTTACAAAAAAGGGGGGAAAATCTCACTTTTGGTATCAGGAGTATCCATCCAAACTAGGAGATTGCTTGGTCAGACATACTCATATAAAGATGACATGATTTGATAAAAGATGTTTGGGCAGTGATACTTACGATTTCTAATAATTATATTAATGTGTTCCAAGTGGCCATATACTTGTTATGTATTTTGTAAATTCTCAAAAAAGTCTAAGTTTAAACTTGCTGCGAAAGTACTAAAAACGCAACTGCATATTACATAACATGATGTTCTAAATGGAAAAGTCGTAGAAGCTATCAAATTAAAGCTACTATCTGATTGAGCAAAGTGTATTACCATCAAACGCAAAGAGGCGTCAGTCTGGAAGTCTATATAAGCAATTACTTTCATTTGTTATTATTTACTGTAAACTCTTGGAAGTGAGTGTACATACAAATTCTCGACGTATCAGCAATATCGATACAGTAAAATACACTTAAAGATAAATTAAGGTGCTTCACTGTTGTAGACGACTAGAAATTAGCCTTGTGTGTCTCACATTTTGAGATAAGCGTGTTTCTCTATGAAAACAAAAGACAAATGAGAAGATAGCCGTCTAGTTATTACTTCCATTTTTGTAAGATTCCAATTTAAAATGAAAGCATATCCATACAACATTTGATATTTTATCTTTGGAAATTATGTTATTCTTGTCGTGTTCTCTGCATTTCAAATTATTGGAATAAATCTGATTTAAGTGTTTCAATAAACAATTTCTCACTGTAAAAATGCGCTATATCATGATTTTTTGTGCTTTATCATCTTTGCCCACAAGGTTTGACGGAGGATATTTGTCCATTTTTTGTAAGCAATATAAATCAAAAACAGAAAGAATGTTGATTTATTTCTTTTATGTATGGAATACATTAAAGTAAGATTTAGAAGCGTATCTAAATATAAAAAAAGGGTTACGAAGACTTTGGTAAATGTAAGCGCACTTTGGGTATTTTCTTGGTTTTGTAGATTTCTAGAAGACGATTATAGTATGCATTTGAAAAGCTAGAAATATTGTTCAACTTAAAAGATTGTGGGATATAAAATGTATTTTTTTTTTCAAACTGGAGGGCGTATAATTTTCCCATGAATCAAGCCAGAAATAAGATCGATTACAGTCGGTATTTTTGCTGGCTACTTTGATAAAAAGATGTTCCATCTTCCCAATAACTCGTGAAAATCCGTCTTACTTCCTTTCTTTGCCGTCACAACCATAAGCCGGGGAACAGCTCGGGGGCTTGTTTGTTTGCGAAGCACGATTTATAGATGGTTTCGCGTCTTGAAAATATGCTAAAAATAGGGATATCTTGCCAGAAATTGTCTTGCTTAAGATCGATTTCATCTAAGATTAGCATTAATTCACCCTCAATATTTCGGTTAAACGCCGATCTGTTTGCAAAGATATCTGGTATTTGTTTTTGAATTGACTTCACGGAGTAGATTTTTCGTCAATGCTAAAAGGCTGAAGAAAAGCGCTGTGTATTCATCAATATTTAATAAAACAGAACACTGCAATTTCTACATGGTTTAATTAAACCGCTATCGAAAGTTGTATCTTATCGGCTTTCAATTGCGTGATTTTTTTTCTTTGAATTCCCAAGTCATTAAAATTAACCTGAAATATTCATTCATGAAATATTCAATGATCAAAGCACTATAGACACATTTACATAAAAAAAACTTTTTTCAATAAAAACAGGAAAAGGACTTTTATTCCTTTATTAATATTAAAACCCCTTTTTGCTTATTCTGCGTAATTGATACGAAATCATAAAATATGGACGAGGTGGTTGTTATCTTTTGTTGGATATATCTGAAGAATAAAGGTATAAAAGCCACATTCAGTCTGAAGCAATGTTACAGAATGTTTACAGTTAGTAAGTGCAAAGTATACGTATCTGTATCTGGTCATATACTGGGCCCCATCCTTTAATGCTTGTCGACTTCACAACCTATGAAATCTTTATCGATCATTAACGGACAATAATTCTTTTGGAGACGCTGATCGCACCCGTGAAAAATGTCGTCGTGTTACTATCGATATGACCATGTTATTACTTTACCGATATGTCGTGTAATTAAGTCAATATGTCATTCCGATTAAAACTGAACTCCGAGGTGCGTGTCGAAGTCCGTGGCCTTTTACTCGATTCTTCATTAACTCCTTGTTTAACAATATCAGACGTGCTTTAATTATAAATAGATCTGACAGTACGTACTGCCAGGATAGCAGTAAATGACTTTGTCTATAGTGACAGATCACTAAGTAATATTGGAAACCAACAGCGGAATCGACTGAAGTCCACAATGAATCTTGTATTAGAGATATGTGGATTTCTTTTCACCTCAGTACAATAATTAGATTGTTTTATGAATGAAATTCAATTTTATGCTTATATTTTTTCAGATATTTTAGGAAGGATGTATTTGGAATTTCAAAAAATTGACCTATAGGAGAGAACAATTTGTCGGAAAAGGTCACATTTCAAAATCAATGTCAATTTGCTATTTTCTACCGTAAATATGTCTTAATTTTTCATTTGCATTTTGAATCTGAAATTTATTGCGTGCAATGTAAAAATTTTCCTTCAAAGATGACTATAGCAACATTTTCCCTGTTAAAGCACCGATTTTTGCATTAATTTTGACCTAGAAATCCTCCAGGGCAGGCCTGCCCTTAAACAAAATAATGATACAGGTGTATTGTGAAAGCTTGGGATCTAAGAATAATTTGAAATAGGATTTTTGTCCTGGTGTTGAAAATCACAAAAATGCCAACAAAAATAAGTAAACCTATTTTTGAGAATTTGGATCATAATGCATATTTAAACACGCTGTTTTCACGGTCATAAAAGTGTTTCATAGATAGTTATATAGATTATTTTAAACGTAAAGATTTAAACTTTTAATGTAACAATAACTCAGATGGTTAGAGTGGTGACTCGTCATAACGCAGTTACATTTGAAGAGTCGTGGTTCGAATCTACCAATCGCCACACTTTTACATGTACAGTTTAAATTCTCGTATTTTCACACACAATTTTTTTTTTTTTTATAGGGCTTGAGTTTTTTTTCCTTCAATTACCTATCTTAAATGCATGTTCCTTTTTGTATACTAAATATTAAAGACAAACCGTAAATAAATCCTTTGTAACTTAAGGTTCACTGATACTCTGATAAGAGAGATAACTCTAATTTGTTATAAATGACTATTATTCTTAATCGGCCATTGTCATCAAATTTTGCCCCGTGAGGTATGCTGAAATTGCGGGCATTTTAATTAAAAATTAGAATTTTTTTGGATTATCATATTAGCATCATGGAAAGATTTTATAAGAGCGAACAGATGGATAACGAACCTTAAACGAAATTCATGAGGAACTATACCTAAGTGTAGCACACTTTCTTCGAGGAAAAGAATCACTCACGTGTTTCTCAATACATTCTTGTTTACAATGAGCTGCGATTGATACATCTGAAGAATTTGATACCTTAGATTCTAATCAATTATGTTCCGTCTGTACTATTGGTGTATTTTACGTAGTGAGCTGAATATATTTACAATTACATGTACTTTTGAAGTCAGTAGTCTCAATTAAGATCCCAGTCGAAGTTTTTAAACAGTTTGGC